TACTTCTCCTAGATAGCAGTCTTTTTTTTTTTTTTTTTTTTTGCAATTTCACTTTCGCCTCGTCGGATTGAGCAACTTGATCTCCTGTTGGTCACATGATTTCATACAGCTTTGGGAATATTTTATCGATATATGGAAAATGCAGACCAATTTCTTTCTCATAAGGTAGATTATCAACTTGATAACGATAAAATCTATTCTTAATACGAGATTAAAAAAAGCATGTCTCAGGCCATCGGCAACGTAATTATTCATATAGTAACGCACCTTTACTCACCAATACATTAAATTATAAATCTTACAATTTTATCAATTAAAGACCGCATTAGCGTATGTGCGAGCATGGCACTTAGTAGACGCAAGACAGCGTATATTAGGTCGTATGGCTACTAATATTGCAACCACCTTAATGGGAAAGCATAAACCTATCTATGATCCTGCTTGTATGTATCCGATTTCCATAATTTGTTTTCATTTTATTATAATATCTCAGCCATCATGGTTTAATTAAAATGCGTAATATTTTACTATAGCTGATTGTGGCGACTATGTAGTAGTCATAAATGCAAAAGAAGTTGCAGTAACCGGTAAGAAAGCCGAACAGAAAGTATATCGTCATCATAGTGGATATCCAGGAGGCCTAAAAACAATTACCTACAGGATTATGATGGAAAAAAAACCTGACGAGGTAAAGCTCACGTTTATTTTAATTTTTCTAATTTCCTATTATAACCATGTTTGTTATTTTATTACTTAAAAAGATTATCAGAAAAGCAGTTTCGGGAATGCTTCCAAAAAATCGTTTACGCGATAGACGATTGGGTCGGTTATACATCTTTCCGGATGATAAACATCCTTATGAAAAAAATATATTGAAATCTTATGATAATTCATTGAACGAACTTAGTTTATCTGAAAAGGTTGAGAAAAATGTGAAGGACAAATCTAAAAACCAATTTAAAAAACCCAAGAAAAATAAATTGGAAAAATTGTCATCTGTAGAAACAATTGACAACAAGAGAAAAAATGTAAAAGAAAAAGCTAAGCAGAATAAAAGCATAGAAATATAAGTATAAATATGAATAAGGTATTAACAAACAATAGATCATAAAGATATAATATTATAATTGTTGTCAGTTATGAATTTATTAATAATAAAAATTCGAATGAAAATCATGAATCCCTCTTTAATGATGAATCTCAATCTGTTTTCCCTGTTCCCATCCAATAGCCGCTTCTCGTATGTTATGCCAATATTGAAGTCTCACGGTCATTTTTTTCGCCTGAACCAAATCGTTAGATTTAAACGCCTGCGAAAGTTCTGTTATAATTTCATTGATTTTCGCTGTAAGGTAATGCGAAATTTGAGTTAGTTATAATTAATATAAGGAATATAATGAATGTTACAACCCTACCTTCGCTTTCATCTTTGATGTTTTTTGCCTCACTCTCATCCAAAGCTTCTTCCAGACGTTCTCTGGCATCTAATATTTTCATCAATAATTCAGGATCTTCGAGCGATTCCGATTCAGCTATTGATATGTTGTTCAATTGAAGCTTTGTTTATTAATCAAATGCATAAAGAAGTTTATTAAATCGATTGCATATATGCTAATCATAACAGAAAGCATAAGCAAAAAAAGAAATTAAATTACTATGTATTTTGCTCTGGAGAGAGGATCACGTAATATTTGATATGCTTTGTTAATCAGAGATGAGTACTGCTGAGCGTATATATATTCTTGCTACAAAATGGTTGTTATCAACTAACATGACTATTGAAGACGAAAATTGATATCTTCTTGTAAAGACTTAATGAAGAGAAAAAGTAAACTTTGTTATATAATTCGATAATGATACTTGCTTTGTCTTTTTTACCATACCTATCAGGATGAGCATGTTGTTGAAGCTTCAAATAATTACTACGTAATTGACCTAAATCGATATCAAATTCAGGTACTTTGCTAAGATGGTTTTAGCAAAATGAGAGTAGAATAAGTTATATATAAATTTACAAATAACACAATTGAATGGATAAAGTTACTCACGAATCATCACCTACTCCTAATGTTTCAAAGTAGGTCGTTTCATTTGGAATTGCCTTTTGAATAATGCCGTGATCTTGTTTGTAGTTGTGAGAAGCTATTTTACGTAATGACAAATGACGATATAACGAAACCCTGCCGAAAGCTGAAGCTCTAAGAAAGATAGTAGGCCGGGCTATAGTTGGTAGTCGAAACCATTTTTCCATGTTGAAAAAATCGAAACGCTGCCAAATGAAAAACCGTAGCCGAAGACTAAATGTGTCAGGCGCAAAAATTTATAGGTCTCGTGATATCCGAGCTGATCCTTGAGCTACATATGTAATAATCGGTGGGCCTTTTAAAGAAAATTCATATCAATATCGATATCGTTATTAAAGCTTTGTAAAATTTTTATATATGAAATTTAAAAAAAAAGTCACTGGCCGGGTCCAGTGTGTGAAATTCGATGTTCTCTGAGAACATAAAAACTATGTAAAAAATTTATAGATATTCTTGTGTGAACATAAAACTAACAAAATTTTTTTATCTTAAAAAGGTTACATATATAATTTTTTCTAAGCTTATCAGTTAATATTAATTGATCTAAAATATTCATTTTGGTAAAACAACTATATACAGTATATCTATTCAATGGATTGGATCTCTAGTCCTTACTATGCTTTTATTCTGCTTAGCTTTTTCTTTTAC